GTCATCATTTAACGTTTCAAAAATTACTTTGACATCCTTATTTGCCGTTCATAATTGAGTATCATCAGCAAACATGTCACAATCCGCACTTTTTAAGCAATTTGGCATGTCATTTATGTAAACAAGAAAGAGTAAGGGTCCAAGAATTGAGTCCTGCGGAATACCAGTAATTATTGTTCGTGGTTCAGACAGTTTGCCATTAACTTGACATTACTTAGACAGATAGGACCTAAACCAGTCATGCGCCCTTCCTCTCACTCCATATAAATATAATTTTTTTAATAAAATACCATGGTCAACGGTATCAAATGCCTTTTTTAGATCTAAAAAGACAACTCCATTGATTAACCCTTCATCCATATTTTGATACCAATGGTTTGTCATTTTTAACAATGCAGTAACAGTGGAGTGGAGAGGTGTAAAGCCATGTTGTGCATTAGTTAGTATATTTGCCCGTTGTAAATAGGAATAGACCTGGTTATGTACGAGTTTCTCCATTGTTTTGGCAATTACCGAAATAATAGATATGGGTCGATAATTATCCATATTAGATTTAGGGCCACTTTTGTAAATTGGGGTGACTCTTGCATTTTTCCACTCACATGGAAATATGCCGGTGGATATAGACCTATTAAATATTGTTGTCAGCGATTTAGCAATGTAAGGTGAGGCCAGTTTAATAAGTTTTGCTGGTAATCCATCTAGACCCGATGCCTTAGTAGATGATAATGATGATAATAACTGGCAAACTTCCTGTTCAGTTATTTCACAGAAAATAAAATCCTGCATTGATTCACTGATATAACTCTCTGGTGGAATAGAGCAACTTGAGATGTTTTGGGAAAGAATGAAACCAAGATCAGTGAAATGATTATTAAATGCATTAGGTATGCCTGGAATATTAACCATTTCACCACTCTCGTTACGGATCTCAGTTATATTTTGAGATTTTTTTTTATTTATGAATCAAGTTATTAATAGTTTTCCACATGTTCTTAGTATTTCCTTGCTTATCCCTAATCTCAACACTATAATGATGGCGAATGGACGACTTAATTAATTTATTATAAGAATTTCTAGCTGATTTGAAGATTTGCCAATCATTTTCATTTTTAGATTTCAAGGCCTTTTTCTTTAATAAGTTCTTATTTCGCTTACTATGAAGTACTTGTTTCGTAATCCAAGGGGTACGCTTCTTACCAATTTTACGGGTTTTAAGTGGTGCATGTTTATCAATAACTTCAGTAAATTTATTTTTCCAAATATACCACATTCGGTTGGAATCCGTGTATGAATCCAAATTATGGTTTTCGGACGATGCTATATCGCGTAGGAAATTATCTTCATTGAAATTTTTGAAATCACGGAACTCCAAAATATGTTCCTCTCCTTTTAACGATTGGAATGACAAAATGCCATATATTAAATAATGGTCACTAATCGTTATTTTGGAGACTCCTGCTAATATAATATTTTCCTTTTTATTGGTATAGAAATGGTCAATTAGAGATACCGAATTCTTAGTTTCCCCTGTAGGTTCGTCTATCAATTGTTTGTATTGATATAAATTAGTAATGAAATTGAGTGCTTTCGTCATATGATCTAGATTTTTGTGTAATAGATCACAATTTATATCACCCGGGATAATGCTCTCTTTCTCTTCCGTATCAATAAGCCGTAGAATGTTTTCGAATTTTGTTAGCAAGTCAATGGGTGAATTAGGTTGTCTGTACCACGTTGAAACTAGAAAAGGTTTGGTTTTATATTTATGAATTTCTATCGTAAGAGCTTCAATATCATAATGACCCAAGACAAGTCTTATCAAAAAGTTAATTGTATTTCGTATGTAGAAACCAACACCCCCACCAGATCTATTCCTATTCTTAAAAACTCAGGTATAGCCCTCCAGGGAAATTAAATCTAGGGGTACATCAGAATCCATTTTAGTTTCATTGATTGCTAAAATATCTAGTTGTTGTAGTCTCGTAGCTCGTAGCTCACCTGCCTTACACTTATAAAATATAAAATGGTATATAATGGTATAAAACAAGGCTGCCATTTCGTATTTTTTCTACAAGTTTTTGTTGGTCGACTTCAGTGTAACGTTTTATGTTTACACTAAAGAAATTATGCCAACAAAAAGTGCTAGAGTTTCAACAGAATACACAATTGCGACACATTATTACAACAATGACACTGTCACAGTGATATGAAGGTAAAATCAGTGATGTTGAAACTTGAAAATGATTTAGATTGTTTATATGAGAGACAGATAAGTTTCACTTGTATGTCTTTTCATATGGCACAGAAATGCCAACTTGGAAAGTAAAATAATGGTGTTTGTTATATAGCTAGTGTGAACACCAAACGTGATTGGCTGATTTGTAGTCACGTGGCTTTAGATAAATGCAATGTATCCCGCCCGGGCAATAAGTGAAAAATTGTTGCCCCCCCGACAGGCTACGTACATAAATAAACAAAATGGCGGCACAAATTTATACTATTTAAACTACTGTTTTCGTGGCTTTGTGTTAAAATACAGAATGTAAAAGAGAAGAAAAATACGTAACAGGCAACAGGATATGCTGCTGAAACCATTTAAGTAGGTTTTTTAAATTTTAAACTCGTTTACGCTATAGAGTTTTTGTCGTGAAATACAAATATTGTTGTATGAATGTTGTTCAATGTTGATATTTGTTTCGTCGCTATATAACAAAACACTTAACGTCTTTCCCTCGGGAAACATTGAGATTCTCGGGAAAACAAAACTAACTATTTCCCTCGGGTGCAGACATTAAGTGTATATTATTGACATCTGAAATATGCTATAACATAAAAGTATGTCTTTTGAATGTAAAAGACCCCAAATTATCACATCCAAAATGTTTTGTTATCTCTTTACAAAATATAACCAAAATGGATAAAATATTAGCTATATTCGCCATTTCTAGATAGGCGGTCATATTCAATGGGGCCAAAAAACAGCATTTTGGATGTGAATTTAACTTTTTGTTATTTTTAGGTTAAAGAAAGATAAAACTTACTAAAAAATAAAACTTATAGGATAATGGCAGTTAATCGACAGAATTTCTGAGGGGTGCGCCCTATCAGCGTACCCCCGGTCATATCAACATGAAAACCCCCGGTACAAATAGGGTTAACAAGCTAAGACACATTGGTGCATCTCCTGAGGTAGTGAAGTGGTTCGAAAGCTACTTAACTGGCAGATCACAATTTGTCCGTATTGGAACGTCTGTCTCGTCATCCCTTGACATCACTCACGGGGTTCCACAGGGTGCTATTTTATCTCCACTCTTGTTTAGCATCTATGTAAACGAGTTACCACTCACCCCACGTCACAGCTCCCTTAATTCATATGTTGATGATTCGAAGATGTTCTGGTTATTTTGTGTTAAAGACGCGACGGACATAAAAGAGTACCTTCTGGAAGATCTCAGCCGAGTAGCAAAGTGCTGCTCTGAACTTTATCTATTTATTAACCCGGAGAAAACCAAGTATTTACTTATCGGAACGCGACAACAGTTACAAAATCTCCCTACAGATATGTGCCTAAATTTCATAGGTGAAACTATCAACCCAGTTCCTTCAGCCAAGGATTTAGAATTAATAAGGGACACCAACATGTCATACGATTGCTATATCACCGAATTAGTCTCCTCTTGCATGTCCAAGTTGTCACAGATCAACCGAGAATCTATATCCCTCTTGGTATCAGCATTGCTAATGAATAAACTTCTTTATTGCTCCTCTGCTTGGTCGAATACTTCGGCCAAAAATATTAACAAGCTACAACTGGTACAAAACGTGTAGGATCGTGACAAACAGCAAGAAGTTCGATCATATCTCACTAAAACTGCAAGAACTGAATTGGCTTCCAGTTAAGGAACACTCACTTCTAAGAGATACAGTTTTGTTGTACAAGTGTATTAACAATCTAGCCTCACCATGGCCTTTTTTAACATACAAGCTGGGGGAAAATGCCCCCAGTACCCCCCTTGTGTCCCCACGAAATCACATTTTACCACCCAGGAAAAGTCCCTTTTTCCTAAATTTATACAAACAAACCAGCGAAAAATAACAAATAGATAAACGGAAAGTAAGTTTTAGGCTTTATCCTTTGTCCTTGTTTAGCAAAATCGATTTAAATTGTTACGTTTTTCTACCACTAAGTAATGATAAATTATTGTCAATAATTATTTTATTTCTTAGACGCTCAGAATTTCAAATTTCAAAAATTTTCTGGGGATTATGCCCCACACACCTGCCCTTCGGCCATTGGTATCCTCTCTAATAAGTAATGATAAATTACGGTTAATATTCTTTTTTATTTATTGCAAACACAAATATAGTTAGCATAAATTTTGGAGCAAATTTGGATGCTCAGAATGCAGAAAATGGCATTTCCGTGCTTCAAATTTCAAAAATTTTCTGGGGGACTATGCCCCCACATACGTGACCATTCCTCCTCTAATAAGTAATGATAAACTAGAAATACATGCACGCAATAACCCCTCGCCTGTTCTCAAAAGATGTATACTCAGTGCCGTTGCGAGCACTTCGTCTGAGGGGGTGTGTGAGGTTAGATAGAGGGGGGGGGGGTGGTTACCAAAATGTTTCCGGATGTACAAAAATTTTTCAGGACATATAATAATTTTTCCGAAAATACAGTTGTTTTCCAAATTCACTTTCTCATGGCCTGAGAATTACCTGAATTCCCCTGAAAATCTTCTGCAAATCTACTTAAATTTACCTAAAAGTGCACTGGAAATCTACCTGAAATTCCTCATGAGCAATTATCAGGGGTGTTGCCCCACCCCAGTGAGTTCCAAGCAAACACTCTCTGATTTATTGTTCGTGTATTTCACCTCCCAAAATATTGTGCATCATACTATAGAGCATTTTGCTGTTGTCATGCTCTAGCATGGTTCAAATTTATGAATTTTTATTATATAAAGTATAGTGTTTTACAGAGATTTCAAGCACTGATAAAAATGATAATCTCACATGTGAAATTATTCATGATAATCTCACATGTGAAAATTATCGCCTTTTCAATTATCGCTTTTCTGTAAAAATTATCGCTTTTCATTTAAGACTGTCCTTTATATAATAAACAGAAAAATACATGGGTGGTTGGAAATACCAGATTTATTTTTCGTGTTGAACATGACATCTCACTCGTTCACTGCGCTCACTTGTTCGCTGCACACTCATGTTCAACACTCGAAATAAATCTGGTATTTCGTGCACCCATGTATTATTCTCTATTTAAACTACAACTTGACTGGTTTAAATTATTATCAAGTTATCAGTGATTGTAAAAGTTGCAGATAGAAGTGTTTTGTTTTATATTATTATCAAGTTATCAGTGATCGCAAAACCTCCAAATCCTTAATTTCAAATATTAGAATGTTAGGGTTTGTAATCCAAGTGAGAATGTATACATTTTAAGACCTAACCAGGAACGACTGCGAAAAATGCAGCACAAGGTCCTCTGGTAGGAATTGAACCTACGGCCCTGCGATTCCGGTGCAGCGCTCTAACCAACTGAGCTACAGAGGCCAGCTGTTGAGATTTAACCGTAAGTTCATGTATATTTAGGTAATCGGGTGTGCGGGTTATGATAAGGTGGACTTCAATAATTTGGATTCTTGCACTTCACTTGTTGGACTTAATATTAGAATGTTAGGTTTGTAATCCAAGTGAGAATATATACATTTTAAGACCTAACCAGGAACAACTGCAAAAAATGCAGCACAAGGTCCTCTGGTAGGAATTGAACCTACGGCCCTGCGATTCCGGTGCAGCGTTCTAACCAACTGAGCTACAGAGGCCAGCTGTTGAGCTTTAACCGTAAGTTCATGTATATTTAGGTAATTGGGTGTGCGGGTTGTGATAAGGTGGACTTCAATAATTTGGATTCTTGCACTTCACTTGTTGGAATTAATATTAGAATGTTAGGGTTTGTAATCCAAGTGAGAATATATACATTTTAAGACCTAACCAGGAACGACTGCGAAAAATGCAGCACAAGGCCCTCTGGTAGGAATTGAACCTACGGCCCTGCAATTCCGGTGCAGCACTCTAACCAACTGAGCTACAGAGGCCAGCTGTTGAGCTCGATCTGTAAGTTCATGTATATTTAGGTAATCGGGTGTGCGGGTTGTGATAAGGTGGACTTCAATAATTTGGATTCTTGCACTTCACTTGGTGGAATTAATATTAGAATGTTAGGGTTTGTAATCCAAGTGAGAATATATACATTTTAAAGACGCTAACCAGGAACGACTGCGAAAAAAGCAGCACAAGGTCCTCTGGTAGGAATTGAACCTACGACCCTGCGATTCCGGTGCAGCGCTCTAACCAACTGAGCTACAGAGGCCAGCTGTTGAGTTTTAACCGTGTGCTTCCGATCTATATTTAGGTAATCGGGTGTGCGGGTTGTGATAAGGTGGACTTCAATAATTTGGATTCTTGCACTTCACTTGGTGGAATTAATATTAGAATGTTAGGGTTTGTAATCCAAGTGAGAATATATACATTTTAAGACCTAACCAGGAACGACTGCAAAAAATGCAGCACAAGGTCCTCTGGTAGGAATTGAACCTACGGCCCTGCGATTCCGGTGCAGCGCTCTAACCAACTGAGCTACCGAGGCCAGCTGTTGAGCTGTAACCGTAAGTTCGTGTATATTTAGGTAATCGGGTGTGTGGGTTGTGATAAGGTGGACTTCAATAATTTGGATTCTTGCACTTCACTTGGTGGAATTAAAATTGGAATGTTAGGGTTTGTAATCCAAGTGAGAATATATACATTTGTATATTCTCACTTGGATTACAAACTATTCTCACTTGGATTAGAAAATATATACACAAAATATATACATGTACTATACATTTGTATATTCTCACTTGGATTACAAAATATTCTCACTTGGATTACAAAATATATACATGCATATATTCTCACTTGGATTACAAACCCTAACATTCTAATATTAATTCCACAAGTGAAGTGCAAGAATCCAAATTATTAATTTCAAATGCCCCACCGGGGCTAAGGTTCGAGTGGAAATGCCCAACCCCCGGGATGTGCTTTACAGGAAAATGGCTGGGCGAGGGGGATGGACACACTTGGATTTGGCTGATGCATTAAAAGTCCTGTGCTTATTCCAGACTGCTTGTCAAATATTTACTTGCTAGAAGTAGAAATTTACTCTGACCACTGGATGAAGAAGACATTAAATAAGTACTGGTCAATAAACAGAAATGTATTTTATTTCATAGTATTACAATTTTATTTTTATACTATAAAAATAAAATATAAATATGCAGCATAGAATATGCAAATTCGAGGCAAAATTATTGTTGAATCGGTTTATTTATAGGATTTTATAACAAATAGCAACTATAAAAGTTTGTACCTTGTCTTCACCGATCGCTTTATTGTGTTAGCCAATGCTTTTAAATTTACATATTTTAGAATCAGTTCCTTTCCCGGTAACTGCATTTCTAAATGAAATCAGATCAACGTGAGTAGTGAGTGCTGAGCAGGCCGTTTTACTATAAACAAATTTTAGGAATTGATAACAATTACTTTGAAAATTATATCGTTGCACATTCGGTCACAGTCGGAAAAATGTTCATAGTATGTTGTACCGTCGCTTGCAACTAACGATGAACAGTTGCTCATAAAAACATTTGCGTGATTAGAATCTCCAATGTTTGTCAAGAACAACAACACTTAATTGTTGTTTCCCATGTGTACAATAATAAGTAAAAAAAACTTTGTGTGGTCTGAACGTGTTGGGCTAGAGACCTACTGGAAACCCTTACAGGCTTTTTAATGAGAATAGAGAATGTTTTATCTGGCAGAATCTGCAACTGTTCACCTTTAGTTGCAACCGACGGTATTTGACAGCATAAAATTGCCTGTGGCTGTGATAACTGATATAAATAAAATACAGTCTGGTTATACAGACTTGAGCGTGTCTTGACAAACTCTTTATTGGAAAATTGTGAAGAAACAGTCGAATATAGAGGGTCGAATATCATACTTCAACTCGTATAGCTACAGTAACATTAGTAGATTACTACATAGCGTTGTGAAGACAAGCCTTTTCTTACCTTTCGCTTCACTCAGCAGTCTTTTCCATGCTTCTCTACGCTTTCCCAGGCGAGCTTCTCTTTCCTCAGCAGTCTCCTCGAGCAAACGTTGTCGTCTTCGCTCCCTCCTTTTCGCTAGACGTTCGGCTTTCTTGTCGTTTCCTTGCCGCTCTTCATTTGGCTCCATATCTTTTCAATTGGTATTTGATACCGTAATTGTTTTATTAAACTTTTTTATAGAACAAATTGCTTTGAAAGCTGTCAAAGTTTTTTGCAAACGTACAAAATACTGTAGTGTAAAAAGCAAATTATTTTCATGGAGTCTCTGTCAGTTGAAGTCGTCATTTGTCATACAACAACAAATTTTAAATTTGACCAATCAGTGTTCGCTATCCATGACAGTCCGCCATATTTTTGAGATCAGTGAGGATGACCACCCACTCAACACCGTTGGTCACCCACGCCCGCGATATTTGATGAACTTTAGACTCCGCTAATGCTTTCGTTTCCCCGGGTGTAAATAGCCGGGGGGAATTAGTACCCTCGCACGGCGCTTCGCGCCGCCGGCTCGGGGACAAGTATAGTTCGCATAAATTTTGGAGCAAATTTGTATGCTCAGAATCAGGAAATGGCATTTGCGTGCTTCAAATTTCTAAAATTTTCTGGGGGAGTACGCCCCAAGACCCCTATTCATGCGTGGT